GGATGTTCAATCGATTCTTCGCTTATGGCCAAAGTTCAAGCTCTAACATTTTTGCATAGTCTATCTTGGGATTGGATGTTTTATCGATTCTTGTACTATGGCTCAAGTTCAGGCTCCAAATCGTTGACAAAGTCTATCTTGGGATTGGATATCCTATCGATTCTCTGAATATGTCTTAAGTTTAAGCTTCAAATTTTTTTCAAACTTTGTCTTTGGATTGCGTAATCTATCGATTCAGGGCGATCAGTTCGTTTCGTGGGCAGTCTTTAAATTATCAGAAATCGGAGGAAGTATGCACTGTATAGATTAATTTTTCTTCGTAGTATGTAGAGAATGATTTCTCTATTTCTCTCCAAAGATACTTGGCTCCCTATCAAAGTAAAATCAGTAACATTTAACAGAGTGCATACCATAACAATGTCACTAATATATTTCTGTTCGTCAAATATCTGACTTGTTTCCAGAAAATTATTATTAATTTATTCAACGAACAGTAACAAGTAACAGTAACAAGTACAAGTATACATGTACAAGACAGGAAATGAGAGACACAATTATAAAATTATATTATTCTAACATAACATGACCTCTCAAAGTAGCCTCTGTAGAATCGTGGGCTTTTCAAACTTTCACTAACCACACAAGCTATTCGTCTCCCGGACAGATCTTAGAAAACCACTCTCCACTGACTTAATAATTCCCGTACAATTTTGATCGCAAAATGTATTTCCCTGTTCAACAATTCAATACTTTCGTGTCGGTGTAATCAGAGTATAACTCTAAATCCAACGAAACAGCCGACGTAGCCGTTGGAAAAGACGCCCAGACCAGAGAACAAGACTAAGGGGGTTGAGAAATCGGGCAGAGGGAGGCTTCTTAGGAAGTACACAGGGTGTCGTTTGATATATTTTTCCATTATTAAGGACATTAAGCCGGCGTCCCGCGGGCAAGCAACTCTTTCCGCGTTCTTCCGTCGCTACGTCCGTTTCCATCTCGCTCTGTCTCTCCTTTTTTTCCGCGGCTGGTTGGCGACGGCGACGACGATAAATCAGAAAAAAAAAAGATTCCACCCGCGGCAACGCAATTTTCCGTCTGCCAGGAGATAAAAATTTGATTAATGGACGTATGGCCTTCGAGAAAAACACGGGAGGGGAGCCGTGGTCCTTGGTCGCCCGACTTAATTAGCATTCGTTCAAAAATCACGTCGGAAGGCTAGCGTGTGGTCCCGTTCGAGGGAGCGATTTCTTCGGATCGGCGACGATTTCGAACGGGACCTACCTTTTTCCCCGCAAAAAATCTCGAGGTCCACTTGAGACGGTCGTTAAAAATTCGCAACTCGACTCCGAGTCGCCGTCCAGTCGGGTGTTTCCACACCCCTTTGTCGGCCCTCGACCACGGTTTATCGTCGCTCGACCGTCTCCGTGAGTCGTTGCCACCCTTCCGCGAAGAAAATCGAAAGGGAACGAGCTTTTTAAATGGGAAAGATTTCGTTCGAAAATGGAACGAAACAGGATTAACCCCTTGCCTTGAAACATCGAATCAGACACGTGGTAACGATTTTAAACTGAATTTAGTACACATGTATATTATTCGTTTTCTTTGAGTCGACGTAAAATACTGTTTCCCTAGTATTAACATTTATGGTTTCGAATAAATGTAACACTTGCCATAAGAATAGAATTCCTTTTGTGTCTGGGAAAATATTAACGATTGGGTCGTTCTTGAGAGTGAATTCGTAAAAGAAATCGTATGGCAAGGGGTTAACCCTAGTGTTTATAATTGGGTGTTCGGGTGTCCATTTAGGACGTTTTTTGTTATTTTTTTCGCAAGGAATCACTTTGTGCCCGCTTGTGCAGATTATTCAGCTGCACTCTGTATGTGGTGTATTTTATGAGTACATACCTCGAAAATTGTGCAGTTGATAATTGTGACACTTTTTCGTAATAAACAAACACAATAACAAACTTAATTTAACATTTGTCAATACAAAATACTCGGAAATACAGTGATTAAATTAGCAGACAAAAGAAATATAATATTCAACTTTGAAATACTCAAGCACGTCCGTTCCGTTCGAAGTGTCGTACAAAACTGACAGCTTTCAGCAACTCCTTTACTAAACTTCTTTCTTCAATTCAAAGAATACAACACGCAGTTACCTCAAATAGAAAGAGAAGATTAAATTCGGCTAGAGGGTTTTAAATAACGCTCATTAATGGGCAGGTACCTGGGCACCCCAATGGTCCTGAAGCAGTGTGGAACTTTTCGTTTACAAACATTAATCTTAAACGATTCACGATCCATGGAATCACGTAACCTTCCTCAAAAAGAAAAAAACAAACATCCAAACGATCCAAATTTTATTCAAATCGACACGGAGAAACACGACTCGGATTGATTTGTCTCCGAAGGGGGTTGCAAAAAGAAGAATCTCGCCGGCCAGGGGAGAAAAAAGAAACGAGGAATAAAATCGAGTCGCAGCCTCTCCCACTCTCACGGGGATTAAGAATCAGGGATGCCCAGTGTCGAAGGTCGCCCGTCAAATATCCACTGACTCGCCTCGCCTCCGCCACCCGGAAAGAAAGGGTTGAAAGTCGTGGAAACTTGAGAACCCTCGGTGACAATTTCAATTCTCTGCGCCTTTCCTCTCTTTATGCGTCTCTCTCGGTGGGTCGCCTTCAACCCTGTCGTAATCGTCGTCCAGGCGAGTCATCCTTGTCTTTCACGCGGGAAGGGTGGCAGGCTAAGATTCTTAAAACTTCTCGCGAGATTTTTCGATTTTAATTACAGTTTTAACATATTTTAATAAAATCCGCCTGGTCTCTGTCTCTGTTGCACGCCCTATCCCTTGGTTCGAGGAACACTGGCCTTTCGTTCCCTTCTTTAATTCCGTCGAAAGTTCTCTACCGTTAGCCCGATGTCCCCCTTCCTCTCTGCTGGTCGGTCCCTCATCGCCCACCTCTTTTCGCCGCGAACCGTACGGTCGTTTTCAACGTTAACCCTTTCGTTCGTTCACCTACACCCACACCATCGGCTAGGAGGAGAGCAACACCTGTTCCCCCGTACGAGAAACCCGAAATCAACCGGGTTCCTCGTCCGTTCCACCCGCTCTCGTGTTCCTCCTACGGCTGCCGGCCCTTCCAGCAGTTTCGCGTTCCTCCTGATCGCCCGTCGAGGAACACGTATGTACTGTTGTTTCTATCGTGTATGTGTGTGCTGTAACACGCGTGTGTCGGCGTGATGTACGTACGGGCACACACGGTTGCGACTCGAAAACCATCGATCGGATGGTTGCATTCGAAAAGACCGGCCCGCGAGGGACGTTGACCCCCTTTCTGCGGCCAGCTGTTACACGCCCGTTTCCTATTAAATTCGTGGAGAACCATTCCCGACGATGAACTTCGACTCACAGCGATATCGGTCTAGAGACTACATGAAATTCTCGATGAGTGTTCGAACGCTCCTTGGTACTGGTAAGAAGAGGTGCCCAGGTGTAACACTGACTTTTTGATGAGGCTTCACACATTGATAGAGCTTGGAATTCTGAAGCCAATGGTATTTGTCTCAATCATATAGGACCATTAGTTTATGAAATATTTAATATTTAGTGCTAAGGAGCTCTTCGGACAATCATCGAAGATATACTGTACATTTTCTTGCGATTTCTGGAGTGTATATTCTCGATAAGATTCGCACGTTGAACGTGACAATGGGAGGGGAGAGTTTTACGGTACATGGTGTTGCGCTAAGGGTCGTGTGTGAGATTTGCTCGGTGATTCATACATGAAGAGGATCGCTTTGATCCTTCGGTGAATCGTCGACGGACCGTGCGTCGAATCGGTACGCGTAAGTACCCACCCGTGGACGGTGTTGCGTCACCGTGCGTGAACTTTTAATTAATCGAACCAGCGTTTAATGTTGAAGGCGAAATCGAGAGAGTGAACGGCGCGTAACCGGGGACAGAAGTCGAAACTATCCACGACACTGGCGACCGCGAGCCGGACTATGAATAACTCGAAAGGCAAACGATATCTCGCCCACGGTCTATAAGCACCGTATTTTCCGATTCCCGTGATCGCATAATTGCATGAGAAAATCATGAGGATCGCTCGAACCGTCCACAATTGAACAGGGGAAGCCGGGGCGACCCTGCCCGTGTCCTAACGAGAGCTGTTCAAACATTCGTCGAAATTTAAGTTCTTTTTTTTAATTACAGATAACTCCGTGAAATGTGAAATTTAATTTTACGCGTTCACAGGTCTGAGTCATAATTTCTCCATCGTCCAACTCTTGTTCGGGGTAAAAAGCAATCCTACTTTCTCCAAGTTCCGAGTTCTTTCGCCGTAGAAAAGGATAAATCCTATTTTCGTCCTATGGAAACCCTTTTTTGGACTTTACGTGATCCTCTCTCGTCTCAAATTCAAGCTCCAAATTTTCAAACTGTGGAGGCAATTATATTCTGGAGGAGAATTAATCTTAATTTCTTCAAATTCCAATCCTAATATTCGAGACTTGCAAATCTAGAAAAACCCTCATCTCTCTGGAACAATCAAGCTTCTGTTCCTCTAGAAAAAACAGAATCCGAATCATCTTCTACCCTTAAGAAAAGAACCTTCAACTACCTTCATACCCAATTCCTCTCTCTCGGTCCAATAGTGTCTAAATCTAGTAACGTCTCTCAATCCAGAAAAAGACCGAGAAGTAGATTTCCAATTGCTTCAAGACCCCAAAATCATCGTCTCCTCCAAACAATAATCCCCATATCCAAACCGCTCACAGCCAAGACCGACTCAGTACTACCAAAACAAGAAAAAAGAAAACAAACAAACTATAAAACAAGGGCACGGGTAAATCGCGTCGACGGATCCTCCGTAACCTACCATGGAGTCGGATGTCGATCGACGGAGATCAATATATAAAATGGCGGTCGGATCCTCCCGTCGATCGGCCATCCCTCCGTTGCTCGACTATAAGTTCAGCGTACCAACTAACCCCGGCAGTTCTTCTCGCAGATCTTCATGCACAAGAGCGCGATGCAGATGCACGCGAGGGAGCTGGGCGCGGTGGGCAGACCCGGTGGCGGAGTCGGTTTTGGACCGATCGGCGTCGGACCAGGCGGCATGATCACCGGGAACGAGGTAAAGCCGCACCAGTGCCAGCAATGCCTCAAGTCATTCTCCAGCAACCACCAGCTCGTCCAGCACATCAGGGTCCACACAGGCGAGAAACCGTACAAATGCAGCTACTGCGACCGCAGGTTCAAGCAGCTCAGCCATGTACAACAGCATACCCGCCTGCATACGGGTGAGTATACATATATATATATATATATATATATGTATGTATGTATGTATGTATAGATCTCTGTCTTCCTTCGACGACTACTAGTCCGAATATGGAAATCCTAGCCCGCTTGGACCGGCAACGATCCTGACCTCGAGGAATGGCCAGGATTTTTGAATGTCCCACCGAGCGGGCAGGGTAGGGTGGGATTTCGCCGCGATCGATCAATCAACCGCGGACTTGGATCGACGGGAAATTGATGAAATAGCTGGGTTTCGGTTCCAGCGGACGATTTCACGATGTTATTTTGTGAAATCGGGAATCGAACTCGCCACCGTGAAGAGTTAGGTTTAATGGGGTGAAATTTTTTTAAACGATCATTTTTCTGGGGGAATAGTAGGTGTCGAAAATCGGGAATCAAATAGTAACTCATCGCTGTAAGTCAGTTTTACTATATGGAATTTTGATTATTTTTATAGAGCAGTCTATGAAATCGGGAATCGAATAGAATCTTATTATAGCAATGGAAAGGTTTTACCGAGGATAAAAACGGTAACCACGTATTAGAGTGATTTGTGTGCATAAAGCAGAATACTCGGGTGTACTATTAAAAAGATTTGTTTTTCGAAGTAATTTTACAATGATAGTCTTTGCCAGAAACTTGAGCGTGGGTGTGTAAAGTTCATTTTTAGGTTCGGCTCCGGGTATTCGTGTCTAAAGGCACGCGAAAAAGTCCGTGCAATCTGTGACCTCGGGAAACAAGCCAATGAGTCACGATAAAACGGTAAAAGTACGTAAAAGAACTGTTCCAATTGATTATACAAGTTCTTACACCAACTACGTGTCTTCTAGAAATGATTCTAAAAAAAAAAAAGAAACACCATTTCTTCTACAACGATCTAATAATACCTTGAATTAAATAATCCTGCTTCTTGCCAATAAGAATTTACATTAACCATCGAAGCAATTACACAATAGACGATAAAACGTAGACAAACAGAATGAAAAACACTATATATAATCATGAGTCAAACCACATTCCTAAATGAAATATATACAGGGTGAACCACGAAACGTGATCAACTTACATTATTCTACTGGTAGTTGCTCGATCGAAATTTTATTGTGATGATTGTGCCAAATTTTTTGTCAACTGTTTTTTTTCAGTTTTCAAGGTCATCGTCAGGTTTTTATAGAAAAACCTATAATTCACCTTCGCCCATCTTTTAGCGGATACTGAGACGAATTCGACAAACGTCATAACAAATGATTCTTTTTCTTTTAAGCCAATTAAGAAAATATCATTTACCTTAATTAAAACGATGTTCAAAATTGTGTCCATCAGCTGCAATACACTCGCATAAACGGTTAAGAAACAACTGCTTAGTTCTATTTATGATGTCTGCACTGATGGTTAAGCATGCATGTACAATTTTCGATCGAACTAACAATAGAATAATCTAAGGTGATCACGATACGTGGTCTACCCTGTATATATACAGGGTGTCCTATTTAAATCGACTTACTCGAGTATCTCTGAAACTATTGACAATATTAAAAAATGTTTCAAACAAAAGTTAAATGCTATCAGGGGGCACTAGACACCCTCTACATACAGAGTGTCCCACGTAAACTGTTACAAGCTATTTTCTCCGAAACTGGCGATCTCTCGCAGAGTCGAAGTCGCCCAGTCAAACCTGGGGGAAGTGGAGGGAGGGGGGCTGGCTTAATGCATGCATTCAGTGTGCCCCGGACCGATAGTAAATTCTATGAATACCGCATCGCGTCGCGCTGCCCGACTCGATAATCAATAAATTAATATACTATTATGATCGGCGCTCGGCGCGATCGTGCGTTCCGATTGTGGCCAATTTTAATGCTACGCGCTGCGATCGATTGCTCAATGCCTCGTGGCCATTCGACGGGACAACCGTGGTTTCCAAGACACCGTTGACTGAGCACGTTGCGTCGTACATATTATATGCTCGCAATCATATACATAAACTTGCTGTATCAATCTAAGGGTGGAGGGGGTAGGTTTGATTCACGTGAGTTTCGCTGAACGATCGAATTCAGCGACCGTGCCCCGCCTCTAAGAATAACAGTGACGGTAATAACGAAGGAACAGGGTATCTAGGGGGTGAGGGGTGGGTGGGAGAGAGCTTGTAATAATGAGAAAATTCGACGGCAAAAAACAACGAAGCCGGTCGACGATCGAGCAAGCAAACGGGTCGCGCCCGGGTAGAAAGAATTTCATTAAGGGATGAGCGTAGTCAATCGGAAGGTATTAGCCTGGCGAAGCGGGGCACGGTCAGCGTACGACTGGACCGCCCTTGGAATAGTCTCGTTCATCTCCAAGATATCTTCTGCTAGGTCCAGGGGATGAAAAAGAAAACGAAGAAAAAAAAACCTCGAAACCTCCGTCGGTATGCGAGCTATTTAATCGAGACGTTCGCTGGAGAGCTTCGATTTCCGAGAGCAGCTACGTAAGGTCGATTCTTAAGAAAACATTCCTTTGGAAAATCATCGCTCGGGAAAAACCAATTTTCTAACCTGGGAAACGATCACGGGGGATTAACAATAGTAATATGGGGAACGGGGGTGGTTCACGGAATGAAAAATACATTTAGAAGCCGTGTTCCTTGACCGTGTTTAACGAGGGAGGAGTGAAGAAAAAAATAGAAGAAGAGACAGAAGGGTGGACGTTGATTTCGCTTGGGCTCGTTTCAACCCCTTCGCGTCCCTTTCGACGACTACCCCCGACGAGCAAGTAACTACTGCTCGACCACCCCTTACATTAATAATCACCCTTCCCACGTACATACAGGCCGCTACTCCCCCCCCTCTCCCGCTCTCTGCGGCTGGTACTTCAGGCTAACGTTCGGTGTACGCGGCGTCTATCGCATGCACGCGGCGGCCGCTTACGGGGGTGGGTTCCGTGTCTTCATCGATGAAACGTTTTAAACCAGAGATCGGCACAATTTTATAGTCGAATAATTATGTGGTGACAAGCAATAGATAAGCGCAGCAATTAATGAACACTTAAGAGATTTTGTAACTGTCAACGTCGAATTTCAAAGGGGAATAATGTTAATAAATATTTGACACGGAAAAATTAGATTTATTTAATACTTGCACCTTTTATTTAATATCTGATATGGTCATCCTGACCTTTAAACAGTTCGTGAATTAAATAACTGTTTGCTAAGTGTCTACTCGTTCAAGAAGAAATGTTATTTTATTACAGAAATTGAAATTACTAAGATTGATAAAAATCGTTAAATAATTTTTTTATCTTTTATTTGTTATTCGGAATTTTTTATCTAAATAATGAAATTGCCCATCTCTGTTTTAACTTTCAATGACATGCATATTCCGTACTCCACCGGTACGTAGAAGTCTTCCATTTCTCTAAACTCTTTATTCAAAAAATGTTTGTTCACCCAAAGTCTCAACCATTAAAACTAGAAGATCGTTAAATTAAGAGATAAAACAAAATGCCTGCTGCCTTTTAACACCACGAAAAAAGAAATGACCTATTCACGGTCCGTGTCCTCAAGGGTTAAACAACAGGATATGATGGTTGGGGGTGTGCTTATTCAAGGTCCATCGATTCAGAAAAAAAAAAACAAAAAAAAAACGTGACAAATCGTTCCATCGAACGCTCCAATCCACGAATTCTCTCGATCACGAAATTCATCCCCAAACGATATTCCATTCCAACTTCCCTAACCCCCTTCTCCCGTGCTCACGACGTTCAACGATCCACGGCACGCCGCTTTCTCGCCGCTGAAAAATCGCCGCGCTCGCGGCCGAGCATTCCTTTCGGATTCCGAAACCCGCGGATCGCCCGTTGTTTTCGCCCGTAAACGGCACCGCACACGATCCGCGGCAGCCGGATTCGCGTGCCATATTGATTTCCCGTTTCCGTCCGCGGCGAGAGATCCCGAGAGTGTATTAAGCGTTGGTGGGCGCCGATTGGCCGGGCCGGTCGATGGTCAAAAATCGGCGGAAATTTATCGGGCTCGCTTGCCACCCCCCGACCCAACCCATCGTTCGATCGCAATCCAGCGTGCGTTTGTAGGGTGGGTGGTTTACAACGAATTTCCCTGAAACGCATAATATACATATACATACATATGTACGTATATGAATATACAATTAATATCTATACACAAATATATGTATACATGTACAGTAATAGCAGGGCCATAAAATTTGCAACGGTCCCGCGTATAATTCATTAACCGAAATTCGAGGCTGAACTCCGCTGCACGCTGCAATGGCCAGGCAAAACGAGAAACGAACGGTGGTTGGGCGACACAAATGGGAGGAACGGGAGGGAATTGGACAGAGGGAGTGGAGAACCAGGCGACAAGGGGAGAGGGGGTGGGAGCGAGAAATGTTGGGGCGAGGGTGGTAGAAACGAAGGATGGCGAATATAATATCGGTGAGTGTCCACGATATCGATAGCTGGTCAATAGCTGCAGCCTAGACAAATACCTGCCGAGGGTGTACAGTCCATCCCTCCCTCTATTCTCCCCCTTCCATCGTCGTCCAGCCACCGAGCGTACGAGGGTGACTGCGCCGACCGACCAATCGCAGGTCGGCTCGCCCCACTCGGTTGGTTCGCGCGCGAAAAAGCGCGGGAATTTTTCGATCGCCCGATCGCTCAATAATGGAACCGAAGTTACGCGCCGCCACCGTCGTCGCACGCGCACACCGCCGTCGGCCACCCTTCTCTGGCCCCGTTGCGCTGCTGCCGAACGTCGACGTCGCGCGTTGCACATTTCACCGACACACGTGGTGTATAGTACACGTACACATGTGTGGGGACGCAGCCTAATAAATCGCCTGCACGTATTCGAGAGAGCTTGTTCGAACGGGCGACACAGAGAGAGAGAGAGAGCTGTTCGTATGCAACACACGGGTCAGAGGCTACCAAAGATTATCCCTTCGGCAACGAGGGAAAACTCGATTTTCATGGGGTGAAATCTAATGACCCCCCTTCCCTGATGCTG